GCCTGGTTTGTTTACTATTCTGTTTGCTTACCGTATATTGTTTGAAGTTCTTATCATAATAGCTGTTAAATCCACACCCCGAGGAAGAAAAATGTTCTTGTGTGGTGCTTAGTCAACATTACTGCACCACAGTCTTGCTGTTCTAAAAGCACTAAGCCTGGGTATTGGGGTAGCTGTTCAAACCCTTTAAGGGTGGATGTCACTGGCAGATGCCCAGGATGAGTGAAAACAGACAAAAGAAGTGCTTCTTTTTGTCTTATCTGCATCATACATTTAAAGCACTGTGATACCACTTTAAACAGTCATGGCTTCCCCAGAGAATCCTGGACACTGTAGTTTGTTAAGGGCGCTGAGACTTATTGGGAGACTCCTATCAGAGGCGGATTTAGGGCAGTGTGACCAGTATTTAATGCTAGTCCTATTCAGAGTAAATCCACTGAAGTTAATGGGCACGACTCACTTAGGTCTACCAAACATAACCCTATGTTCATTGTAACTGGACTAAAGAAGGTGGACCTCCCCTGTTCTTGAACTGCATGTTTTATGTATATCTTCTGCTTTTAGTACAAACGAGTGGTTTTGAATAAGGAACATGGGGGTGGGGGTTGAGTGAGAGTTTGCTTTGGATGATTTAATCCAAAATGAAAACCGAGCAGGGTAGTCTTGTTTATTCAGTGTTCGCTCTGTTACCTATTAACAACAAGTGTTTATGCGTTCATGGATGATGGGGCACAGTGTGCCTAACCTGTGATTTAGCAACAAAAGTTTACCTGCAAACACCAGATACTGGAGAGCACACCTGTCTCCATGGCTAATTGATCCAGAATAACCACTACTGCCTGCTCTGCACACACAACTGATAATTTAAGTAACATCCTCGCTTTACTTATAAACATGAAAGAAGATAAACCACCCTTTTGCCACTCGTAATTCACTTGATTACAGGATAAGGAGGAGGGTAAAGTCAGTGGTAACTAACTAATCTATATTTCTTTTCTGTGAATGTGCCTGTTCTGTGGAACTCCCTGCTCTTGGAAAGAAGCCAACAGGTTGGCTGACCTGAGCTTTCAGTACCTGCTTAAGCCCTACCTGTTTGCCCAGGTCTTTGTTTGGTTCCTAATTTCCAACTTTGAATAATATATATTGCTGACGACAGTGAGTGGAACTCTACAGTTGTTTTCAATGTTTTAATACATTATTATTTTGTTTTATATTATGAACCATTCAAGTATCACTAAAAGAGGGAGCAGTGTAGAAATATTTTTAAAAGAACAAATGAATACAGTGGTACCTCGCAAGACGAATGGCTCGCAAGACGAAAAACTCACAAGACGAAAGGGTTTTTGGTTTTTTGAGTTGCTTCGCAAGACGATTTTCCCTATGGGCTTGCTTCGCAAGACGAAAACGTCTTGCAAGTTTGTTTCGTTTTTCTTAAAACCGTTAATACAGTTGCAACTTGACTTCGAGGAGCAACTCATAGCACGTGGTGTGGTAGCCTTTTTTGAGGTTTTTGAAGACTTTGGTGATTTTTGAAGCTTTTCCAAAACTTTTCCGAAACCGTGCCTCGCAAGACGAAAAAATCGCAAGACGAAAAAACTCGCGGAACGAATTAATTTCGTCTTGCGAGGCACCACTGTATTAAAAATGAGGTTCGCCCAAAGAGAACAGAAAATAGTGAGCATCGACAAGCCTTGAAATGAAAAGAGAACTAGAAGCCAGGTGTTTTCTGCATCCTCACACCCTAAGCTTCCTTTCAAAGCTGCTGGGAGAAGTCTGTGTGATAATAGAGGAGTGCTGAAAGCTGTAACTAGCGCTTGGCCTGTTTCACACACCCCATCCCACACCTGCTCTGTAGGGCTGCAATGAAGAGGGTGGTGCTTGCCTGGAAAGCAGGCCTGTGCAGGGGAGGGTGGGCAGCCGGGTACAGGTGCCAGGGGCCTGCTGGACTTACGCTGCCATGCCAAGAACAAGACTCTCAGACCATATCTGCAGGAGCCTGCTGGAGAATCAGGGTATGGATCTCAGTGGAGTCAGGCCATTGTGTAGTGGTGCTTTGCAAGGGGCAACGATGGCACCCAGTGGGTCAGTGGTGTGTTGAGGACGCAGCTTGATGGGTGTGTTGCATGCCAAAAACAACCCCACAAGTGTAAATGCACCCACACCAGAATGTACTCCTTGTCAAGGAGAACAGAAAACAAAAGAACCATTCTGGGGCAGATCCAGATCTCAACAAAGCTCTCTGAGGCCTATCAAGTCAAGGAACCTGCTTCTCTGTGGTTTCTGCCCTATTGCACACTTCCTCTTGTTACCTGCCACTTCAGCTGTGGGGGAGAAGCTGATTGCTTATTTACCTTCCAAGGGGTGGAGCTGGAATTGCCGGTGCTCATGGTTGCCAATCATTTCCCTGGCAAATTGCCTTCAGGGCCTGGGTGAGATTAGCCAATGGCAAGCTGCCAGGAAGTGGGCACCATGGTGATTGGTATTTTTGTGTGTGTGTGTATTCACTTCCTCTGTTCCAAAAGAAGTAAAGCTGGTCAATAGTGCCCACTTGTTTTCCAAGCGGTGTGATATATCCATACCCACACACACATATATACAGAACTTGACTTTTTGAAACTTTACTGTCTGGTTTTAAGGAAATTCAGAATTTGAACTCTTACCATAAAACTGGAATGTCAACTTGTATTCAACAACCACTGCTAAAAGCAGGTTCTCCTTTCTTATACAGTGGTACCTCGGGTTAAGTACTTAATTCGTTCCGGAGGTCTGTTCTTAACCTGAAACTGTTCTTAACCTGAAGCACCACTTTAGCTCATAGGGCCTCACGCTGCTGCTGTGCCGCCGGAGCATGATTTCTGTTCTCATCCTGAAGCAAAGTTCTTAACCTGAAGCACTATTTCTGGGTTAGCGGACTCTGTAACCTGAAGCGTATGTAACCTGAGGTACCACTGTACTTGGCTGTGTTTCATATAGAACTATGTAATAAGTTCTGTGTGCCCAATACACATTGGGCTTCAATCTCTGGACCAGAAGCTCCCCATTCTTCCCCTTTTGAAACTGGGGATAGTGAGTTCAAAAAACAGTTTGTAATGTGTCATTGGTGTCAGGTGTTCTGAGGAAAACAAGCAAGAAGCCCGCTGAGCATGTCCAAGCCCTTGAGCACCTCTGAAGTTGGATGCTGGCCATCACTGCCACCCTTCTGAGGAACTATAAGCTATTTTACAGGTGGCTTCTCCCTGGTGATGTTTGTGCCAGGCTTCAAGTCGAAGGATAGTTTTGAAAGTTATGGCATCTAACATGGTTGTTTGGCGTTACCCTAACTGGTATCGACCATAGTTGCTTTACCACATCATCTGATCCTACTAAATATATATGTAGGAGTTTTTGTTTTGTTTTGTTATGTATTTTATGCTCTCAATTTGTATTTTAATATTGTGAACCACCCTGAAATCTTTGGATGAAGGGCAGTATACAGATTTAATAAATAATCCCATATGGATTGCAGATGTCAATCACATTTGTTACTCACAAGAGTGCCTCAAGCAGGGTTTCCCAAACTTGGGTGTCCAGCTGTTTTGGGGCTACAATTCCATCATCCCTGCTAGCTAGGGATGATGGGAGTTGTAGTCCAAAAACAGCTGGACACCCAAGTTTGGGAAAGCCTTCTCTAGAGGCATCCTAAGTGAGCCTATAGAGCAAGGGTGGTTAACCTGTGTTCTTTCAGATGTTGTTCGACTCAAACTTCCATCAGCCCCAGCCACCATGGGGGAATGGTCAGTGATGATGGGAGCTGTAGTTCAACAACACTTGGAGGGACCACAGGTTCTCTGTCTCTCCCATTGAGAAGATCTATCCATACCCAAACTGCGGGAGGCAGTGGAAGACAGGAGTGCCTGGCGTGCTCTGGTCCATGGGGTCAAGAAGAGTCGGACATGACTAAACAACAACAACAAATCCATACCCAAATTCATAGCAGTTCCCTGTCCCAAAGAAAACTAGAGGACTGTAATTCTGTGAGAAGGGGACTGGGGATTCTTAGTTCCTTCAGCAAACTACGGTTACTACCAGGATTTGGGGGGAAGGAAATCATGATAGTTAAACTGGCATAAAAGTTTTGTAAGTTCATGGTGTGGATATATCCTTGGTGTCAGAGGGCTTGAGTGAAGTGCCTTGAGTGATGTGTTCCAGAGGAAGGTTGTTGTGACCCTGGACAGCTAACTTGGTTCACACCTAATCTTTACCTGTGGCATGCTCTGGCCAGGATCGTGGATCAAACTGTGAAGCGTTGATCAATAGGAGTATAGCATCTAGATCAAGGGAAGTAATAGTGCCACTGTATTCTGCTCTGGTCAGACCTCACCTGGAGTACTGTGTCCAGTTCTGGGCACCACAGTTCAAGAAGGACACTGACAAACTGGAACGTGTCCAGAGGAGGGCAACCAAAATGGTCAAAGGCCTGGAAACGATGCCTTATGAGGAACGGCTAAGGGAGCTGGGCATGTTTAGCCTGGAGAAGAGGCGGTTAAGGGGTGATATGATAGCCATGTTCAAATATATAAAAGGATGTCATATAGAGGAGGGAGAAAGGTTGTTTTCTGCTGCTCCAGAGAAGCGGACACGGAGCAATGGATCCAAACTACAAGAAAGAAGATTCCACCTAAACATTAGGAAGAACTTCCTGACAGTAAGAGCTGTTCGACAGTGGAATTTGCTGCCAAGGAGTGTGGTGGAGTCTCCTTCTTTGGAGGTCTTTAAGCAGAGGCTTGACAACCATATGTCAGGAGTGCTCTGATGGTGTTTCCTGCTTGGCAGGGGGTTGGACTCGATGGCCCTTGTGGTCTCTTCCAACTCTATGATTCTATGATGTGTGGGCAGCCCTGCTTATGATGGGTGTGTGTGTGTGTTTGACCTTGATCTTTCTTGTCGCCAGTTGGCTGCCAAGTTTCAGCTACTGTGCTTTGCTCCTGACTTATGCATCTCTTCTCCTTCTTTTGTTGCAGTTTGTGCAGGCACCCTGAATGGTCTTAGCGTCACGGGAGATTCCCACCAGACATACCAGACGCTACAGAAAATGTACAACAACTGTGAGATCGTCATGGGCAACCTTGAGATTGTGCTCATCGAAAGAAATTCGGACCTCTCATTCTTACAGGTAACAAGGGGATGGAAAGGAGATTACTTGCTGAGCGTGTGTGTTGGGGGAAAGACCTTTGTGTGTTGGCATCAGCCCTGTGAAGTACACAAGGGCTAGTAAGGATCTAGGAGGAGGAGCGTGCTTCGAAACAAAGAAGGCAGGAAGAGATGTTGACAACCTATAGCTCCCATGCCCATAGGGGCCAAAGGGTCTTCACTCACCCAATATATATTTGAGGGGGCTGCCATTCAAATGGTGTGCGTACATTGCATCATGTGATCAATTACGTGGGGCTTACCTGGCCTCCCCAATATTTTGTTCAAGTTGGCATCGCTGCCCATGCCCTACGACAGGGGGTCAGCAAACCTTTTCAGCAGGGGGCCAGTCCACTGTCCCTCAGACCTTGTGGGGGGCCGGACTATATTTTTTTGGGGGGGGGGAATGAACACATTCCTATGCCCCACAAATAACCCAGAGATGCATTTTACATAAAAGCACACATTCTACTCATGTAAAAACATGCTGATTCCCGCTGATCTGCGGGCCAGATTTAGAAGGCAATTGGGCTGGATCCGACCCCTGGGCCTTAGTCTGCCTACCAATGCCCTACTATAAGCTACTACTACTTAAGCCTGTCATGAAGCTTAAGCATGTGTACAATCTCCTGGGGCTTCCCTTCCCTTCCTTTTTAAAATAACATAATCTAAAATAATTTTAGATTATACTGTAAGCTCTTTGGGGCAGGGGTTTGCCATTTTATACTCTTTAAAGTACCATGCACACTGCTGGCCCTATAGGAGTACAGGTATTGCTGGTGCAGGTAAAATAATAGATCCCATGCACACTTTTTTGCAGACTAGGAGCCAACCTTGTGCATGTACATTCCTTTCTCTCCCTCTTCCCTTGTTTGCAGCTATTTCCTGCCCTACTCTTCCTTTTCCACAGATAAACATGATATTGTGTGAATATGTTCATTGATATAAGTCATGGTTTCCTCACAACCGCTGATTTCAAGTCGATTTGTAAAACCATGGTTAGAAAAGAATGTAGTCTGCTGTTAACATCTATTGAGCTATCACACACATAAAATGAAAACATGGTTACTGTTAGGAAGGGAGGGGGAGAAAGCATGCTGGAGTGGGGAAGGGGGATAGTTCAATCCTGAATCTGAATCCCAACTGCAAACCATGATTTGCAAAAAGCCCGTGTTACGAGTGCACCAGGCCTAAGTTTATTCCTGTTGTCAGCAGATTTGTGAAGCTAGCACGGAATCTTCTCCAAGGCACCCTGGGAATATTGACTGTCAGCAGTTTAAGCAATACCCTTGTTACCGTCTTAGGATTTAAATTAACCTCTCTGTCTTTCCTCCTTGGTCCTTACCCCATCTCACTAGTGTGGAGAACTGTCCTTGTTAGCTCTCCCCCTCTTCCTGCTCTCACTTGCTCCCAGATTTCCTGCCAGACAGGGCTGTGCCCTGACTTGCCTCCTATGGGCACCAGACAGGTAGACAGCACTTATGGCACCTAGACTCTGCCTTGATAAAGAGCCAAGGTTGTGGGGTTTTTGCTGTGTTGGGTTCCTGCATCTTAAAGTGGGGAGTCATAGGTTAGTGCCAAGACGGAGGAGGGATTGAACGATGCTGCCCGTCATATGTTGGCGTCAGTGAGGTTTGCACTTTGAGGGTGAGTAGAAGCCTGGGCATCCCTGCTTCTGATCTATGCTGCAGCTGGCTAAAGATTTCAATACTGGGGTAATTTCCTTCAGCTCACAGTTGAGGCCATAGCTGTCAACCTTCCCTTTTTTTGGCGGGAAATTCCCTTATTCCAGCGCAGCTTCCCGCTGCTATCCCGGATTGTTAGATATCCCGTAGACTGTCCCCGGGACAGGTGAGGCTGCTGATCCCTTATTTTTGGGGCTAAAGGTAAAAGTAAAGGGACCCCTAACCATTAGGTCCAGTCGTGACCAACTCTGGGGTTTCGGCGCTCATCTCGCTTTATTGGCTGAGGGAGCCGGCGTACAGCTTCCAGGTCATGTGGCCAGCATGACTAAGCCGCTTCTGGCGAACCAGAGCAGCGCATGGAAACACCGTTTACCTTCCCGCTGGAGCGGTACCTATTTATCTACTTGCACTTTGACTTGCTTTCGAACTGCTAGGTTGGCAGGAGCAGGGACCGAGCAACAGGAGCTCACCCCGTTGCGGGGATTCGAACCGCCGACCTTCTGATCGGCAAGTCCTAGGCTCTGTGGTTTAACCCACAGCGCCACCCGCACCCCTATTTTCAGGGCTGCTGATCCCTTATTTTCAAATCTGAAAGTTGACAGCTATGGTTGAGGCAGTAGAGTTTCGGATTGTCCACCTTCCCAGAGTAGCTGGGAGGCCGAGATATCCAGTGTTCAATCTGAACAGCCGTATAATATGTTAATCTAGATTGAACCTGCCTGTGGTATGTGGGAACCACAGTATGATGAGTGGGAAAGACTCTTCATAATGTGATTGTACAAATGGGGCCAACTCATCATTGCAGGAATTAACTTTCCTGCTTCCAGTGGCAGGGTGAGCTGTCGACAACAACTGGCCTATTGAGTGTTGTCTGAAGTCACAGTGGTCCTTTCCCTGACTAATGCATTCTCCCACAGGGAAAGAGCCTTCCCCACCCCCTTCATTTAATTTGAGAGAGTATGAAACGTACCTTAAGTGGGTGGCCACCAAAGGCAGTCACTAACACAAGACAACAGTTCCCCAGCAAAGATGATGATATCATAGTCTCGGGGGATTTCACAAGCTCTAATGCTTTGTGATCCCTATAGAAAAACTAAGAACATCTTGCCTAAAAAGATTGTAGGGTAACCAGCAGGCCTCTGCCTTGACCTTCCTAATGCAAAGTAGCCGTAATCTGGCTTGCTGCAGAATCACTTACATCCTTGGGGATGTAAAATCCTTCGGGGAAATGGGCATCATTATAGTTGGGCATCTTGGTAAGTCTAGATGATATAAATTTTCCCCCGCAGCTCAGAGGGGAGAAAAAAGAGGCTGAAGCTCAAGAGAAATTATTTCTGCTCTAGTGTCTGAACATGGAGATGAGGAAGGTGTCTCGTTGCAAGTATGATCCAACAAAAGAGAAAGGGAAAATGAAACATGGCGACGGTTGCAGCTGCAAACTTGATAAGTAATTCAAACAAGAGTTTGGGGTGTGCAATAAAGGAATTCTGTTTGAACTCTGCAACTCCTGAATTCGCAGGTCTGTTGCCATACCATTTAGTTTCACTCTTGAAACAATATCAAACGGCTCCTCTGCTCTAGATTTTTGATCCTCGGATTACTGCAAAATTGCACCGCTCTTACAACCACTTTTGGAAAACTTTGGGGGCGGCAGATTCACACAACCCCCTTCACATGTTGATATAACATCTGGAAGGGACCCATTGATGTAGCTTTGCCCCACCACAGTTACATGGGCTAGCCCCGTCCACTGTCACTGCGAAAGCTAGCCACATCCACTTCTGCCACCATGCTCCTGTGACATCCAACATGCAATTGGAAAGCAATTGGGGTCCCTCTCACTTGGAGAAGCTCTACACATGCATATCTGTATTGGACATAGACTTGTTTCCAGGGCCGGATTTAGGTTTGATGAGGCCCTAAGCTACTGAAAGTAATGGGGCCCTTTATATGTCCAGCTGTCCTTTGTCAACAACAAATTGTCACAGTTTTTTGTGTTGAATATATGCTATATGGTAATTAATGGACCTAAGAGGTATCTAAAGCCATTTGCACATGCATAATGTAGGCACCCAATATATAAAAATGAGAAAACTAGTGATATTTTAGGGAGCAGGCTAGCAGGCGGGGCCCATTACTTACATCATAGGAGTCTACACAACACAAAACACTGTTGCTGTATGTAGATTTTATTTTACAGCCATACCTCTTGTTACTTTCGGTTCAGGTTACGTCTTTTCAGGTTGCATCCCACGGCGACCCGGAGGTATCGGAAAGGGTTACTTCCAGGTTTCACCACTTGCGCATGCACAGAAGCGGCAAATCACAACCCGTGCATGCACAGACGTGCAGACATAGGTTGCGTTCTGCTCATGTTGCGAACGGGTCTCCGGAACGCCCATTCCCCCCCCCTTTAATTGGCAGTGGGCGAGGGTTGGCCACGAGGCCATGTGACACTCGCCCACCCCACACATTCTGGCAATGCATGGAGGGGTTTATGTGAATCTCCCCTTTGGTTCCTCCTTCTCAATCACTGCCATTACAAATGCTTTTAATGAAGAAGAGACTGGGGCAGACCAATGACAGGTAAGGAGCAGAGGTCACCGTCTCCCATCAAGTGCTGCAGTCCCAATACGTAGCCTGTTTTGAGTGGCGGCGCAATCTGTTAGCAAAATTGCTAGCTGCGCGATTTGATGACGTATGGGTGGGTGTTATGGTGCCCTTTAAATTTCCCTCTGATTTTCCCCAGGCTATCCGAGAAGTGACTGGCTACGTTCTGATCGCCATGAACATCTTCACCTATCTGCCGCTGCAGAACCTGCGCATAATACGAGGGATGCAGCACTATGACGACTCTGGTGACAAGTACGCCCTCTACATCCTCCTCAACTATGGAAAAAATGCCACACATGGCCTACAGCAGTTGGGCTTCAATCAACTCACAGGTGAGCCTTGAGGCTTGTGCTACGCAGCCAGGGATTCTGCGCTGCTACTTACTGACTCCTTTTCTGCCTTTGTGGAGGTTAGTGAGCAGATTGTAGCATTCCATGGCCCTGATGAAAACAGTCCCTGGACCAGAAAGGACCAATATAATTTGAAGGTGCTTTTCTCTCCTCTGCCAAGGCATGTCTTAAGCCAGTGGTGATGGAACCCACACCCCCTCCCAGGGTTCCTAGACTCCCAAATCCAACTGGCACCGGCCAGAATGACAAATGCTCAGGAATGGTGGTGGGAGATGTAGTCTAGTAGCATGCGGAAGGCCACCAGTTCCCCTCCTTAAACATTTGAGCACCTGAGTATACTTTTCCATCCCTGCCCCCTGCCCAAGACTAGCTGTGCCACAGCTTCTCTTCACTTCTTCCTGCCACCAGAGGTGTAGCGTGGGTGGGTGGGGGGTAGGGGGCCATTGCCCTGATGCACATTTTTGAGGGGGTGCAATCAGGTGCCCCCATGACAGGCATGGAGCCCTGGCAGCTGAGGTGCGATGGCAGGCAGGTTGGTCTGGTGGGCAGGCAGATTGAGGCAGCGGGAGAAGAGCCTGTTGGAGTTGGGCTTCATACACACACACCGCACGCAGGCTCCATGTGAGCCCCCACCCCAGCTGCCCAGTCTGCCAGGGGGGGGCGCAACACTTGCCCCACGCCGGGCACTGGCAAACCATGCTACGCCACTGCATGCCACACTTTTCTCTCCCCAGTAGTGCATTCAAAGATGTATTGCTCAGTGCCAGGGTTTGGTCTTGAGTATATGCAGTAATAGCAAAGAGAGATCCCTTTCAGCATGTGCAGGGTGCTTAGGTTCAGCAGTGAATAACTACAACTACTGCAACCGGGATCTGAAGAGAAGGATGATCAGATAGGAGAGTATGACTTTTAGGTAGGGTTGAGCACCTTGCCGTGTGTGTGTGTGTGTTGTGGTACACTTGCTGGGAGGCAACAATTGATTTGAGATTTGGCACAGTTTCTATGTGCCTTGAAGAATCCACATCTGGGCATCTAAGCTTCGGTTATTTCCCTCAACCACTTGAAGCAATCCTGAAAACAGAGTGCTTTTTTATAATGTGGAAAGTGCCCTTCGCTCCCTGCTTAGTAGCCACTATCTGGCTCTTTCTACTGGGGATTAGGGTCATGGGCATCCTGGTTTAAGTAGCCTTTTCCAGATTGCCATTCACACTTAGCACTGCTAAAGCTGAGAGTGGATGGATAGGAGGAAATGGAATACTTGGTTTCCTTTGCAATTATAAGCTGCTTCAGGCACCCAGTGAAAAAGTATATGGGGCAGACATTGCATATCTATCCCCACGGTTGCTCCCTGCAGGCAAGGCTAGGGCGTATGTGGGGCACTGGGTGGAGCATGATTGCTCAGTGGATAAATGATTTCAGCATCTGTCACCTTTTACCTTCCCCACTGAGGAGGAAAGTACATTCCACAGCTCAAGATCTTACAGCATTGGCTCAGGCAATCGCACACTATGCCTGGACTCTGTCCTTGTGCAGAACACAATCTCAGTCTAAACGTTTGTTTCAAGAAAAATACATGGGCACCTACCCATCCAGCAGCTGGTTTTGAAATGTTAACTAATGTCCCTTTAAAGTACTCTTTCCAATAGGCATGAGATATCTGGAGACTGTAGTTTGTTAAGGGAATTGTAGGTCTGCAAAGTCATAACCCGTAGCAAACTACAGTCCCCAGGTTTCTTTGAGGGAAGCCATGGTTGTTAAAAGTGGTATAAAAGTAAAGGGACCCCTGAGACCATTAGGTCCAGTCGCGGACCATTCTGGGGTTGCGGCGCTCATCTCGCTTTATTGGCCGAGGGAGCCGGCGTACAGCTTCTGGGTCATGTGGCCAGCATGACTAAGCCGCTTCTGGCGAACCAGAGCAGTGCACGGAAACGCCGTTTACTTTCCTGCTGGAGCGGTACCTATTTATCTACTTGCACTTTGACGTGCTTTCGAACTGCTAGGTTGGCAGGAGCAGGGAATGAGCAACGGGAGCTCACCCCGTTGCAGGGATTCGAACCGCCGACCTTCTGATCAGCAAGCCCTAGGCTCTGTGGTTTAACCCACAGCACCAACCGCATTAAAAGTGGTATAAGAGCGCTTTAAATGTATGGTGTCAGCAGTCATCCTGGTATGTTTGCACAAAGTTTGTGAGGAGGCTGGCTTGACAGTGTTTTGTCAAGCCATGGTTATCCCACTCTTTCCATCACATTTCCCCTTCATTTTGCTTATCACGGGTTTTCTGCGCAAGAGCACTGATCGACTTAATTGCACAACTTGCATTTGCCAGCGTGTGATTGAATCCCACCCGAAACTGGCAACCGTGCTCGTGGTTTTCTAATGAGAGTATGACTCTCCCTCAGAGAACATGTAGCACTTTCACCTACAGTTCATAGAATTAGCTGAACTTGTTTGTAGACTAATCAATTACAAAAGATTAATTTGCAGAGCAGACATGCCCTTACTTGTGACTTTTGGGTACTTGTCTTGGCATCTGTTGCTAGCCCTCACTGTATGTCGTGTGGTGTTGGGAAGGGGAACTGAAGACAGAAAGGAACTGTAATTCATAGAATCATAGAATCATAGAGTTGGAATAGACCACAAGGGCCATCGAGTCCAATCCCCTGCCAAGCAGGAAACACCATCAGAGCACTCCTGACATATGGTTGTCAAGCCTCTGCTTAAAGACCTCCAAAGAAGGAGACTCCACCACACTCCTTGGCAGCAAATTCCACTGTCGAACGGCTCTTACTGTCAGGAAGTTCTTCCTAATGTTTAGGTGGAATCTTCTTTCTTGTAGTTTGGATCCATTGCTCCGTGTCCGCTTCTCTGGAGCAGCAGAAAACAACCTTTCTCCCTCCTCTATATGACATCCTTTTATATATTTGAACATGGCTATCATATCACCCCTTAACCTCCTCTTCTCCAGGCTAAACATGCCCAGCTCCCTTAGCCGACCCATAGGGCTTGCATCAGTAGTGTGATAAGCAGTGTTTGGGGTTAAATCAACGTACTAGTAAACGTACAAGTAAGCTCTTTTGAGCGACACTGAAAGAGTCTAGGAGTTTGAAATCATGTGCACAGAATCCCATTCTTGATCTAGGGGTTGTTACCTTTCCTTTCAACAGCAAAATTCAGCCACTGGTTGAAACCAGATATTAAATGGTTCTATACTGAGCAACAGCAAGATCTTTTAGGAGCTTCCAGACAGGATTATTATTATTTATTGAAATTATATACTCTACCGCTATATACCTGGAGGTCTCAGGGCGGTTCACAGAAAAGATGGCGATATATAACAGGCATAGGCAAACGCGGCCTTCCAGATGTTTTGGGACTACAAGTCCCATCATCCCTAGCTAACAGGACCAGTGGTCTGGGATGATGGGAGTTGTAGTCCCAAAACATCTGGAGGGCCTATGTCCGATATATAAAATCAAAATAAAAACAACCACCCAATAACACACACCCCAAAAAGAGCCACATTTTAAAAAGAGTATAGGATGTCAATCAGGTCAACCAAAGGCCTGGCACCTAAAGGTGTATAATGGCCTGGCAAACTTCCCTGGCGAGAGCATTCCACAGACGGGGAGCCACTGCAGAGAAGGCCTGTTTTGGTGTTGCCACCCTCCGGACCTCTTGAGGAGGAGTCACACAAAGAAGGGCCTCAGAAGATGATCTCAGGGTCTGGGTAGGTTCATATGGAAAGAGGCGGTCCTTGAGGTATTGCGGTCCTGAGCCGTTTAAGGCTTTGTCTTAAACTATTTGGACAAAGCATCTAGGAGTCTGATGAATTGTGTCATCTTGGAAGTTACTTCTAACATAAAATCCAGTTGTTCTAAAGCACTTCTTTTTTTTAGAAAAAAAATGTTAATCTAGTTTTTCAAGATAGTCTACAAAAGAGAACCATAAAACAAATATAAAACAAATCAAAAACATCAGAAACAAAAGCAATTACTGTAGCAACAGTAAAAATGCAAAAAGCAGTAGATATAAAATCACTTTAAAATACTGGGAAATCTTTTTTTATAAAATGTGGCTCTCCGGGCAACCCAGTCAGGCGGTGGCATATAAAAAATAGCAATTATTATTAAGAAAGCATGCAGAGTGGCAGGGATATTTAGAGAAGGACCTCTGGTGCCAGAAAAACCTATACGCAGCCAGCACAATCCACAGCATCTCAGAAGTTGGTGAGGCCAGTCTGTGATGGAGGCTCTAATGAAAGGATGGCTTCAGGATGAGGGTAGAAAACATGTTTATCTCCCAGGAGTTATTAGCTATGGATCCTAAACGTCAATCTGCGTCTTTGCCTCTCCCGTTGCTTAACTCTCTGAACTTCTGATTGTATCGGAGAGAACATCTTTACAATCTGAGCTGGAGATAAGCAGGTGAAAGTCCAATCTACAAGAAAGAATTTATGGGTCCACTTAGCCACTTAGCTGGCAGGATTTGACTAGCTGCCAAAGAAGCAGGTTTGTGGGCCACCCTTAGCACACTGCCCCTTTAATTGGCCAGACCCGGTGTTGTACAACAAAGAAAAGCCTTGTAAACAACCTGGGGTTGAGTCCCAATTCAAGGTCAACTCCAGCTACAGTAGAGATAATGGAATTAGTTGAGGAAGGGGGTGGGGTGGGGGACTATGGAAGCAGAACTTTGAGGGAAACTAAATCAATTGTGAGAGACAACGCCACTGCTTGTCCTCCTTCTCACCCAGAAACTTTATAAAGAATTTGAATTACGAAAGCCCCCTGGGGTTATTCTGCATGAGAAGGAATGTCAACTGTTTTGCAGGCTGGGCAGGTGACACCTGGCTAAGCAGAGTCTAGATTCCTAAACGGACCCCATTCACACTGTTTCATCTACGGATGTGAACTTTTCCTTCGTTCCTGGGCAGGATTGCTATTATATAGTCCTTGTGTCACACCCAAGAAGCAGCTGCATTTGGG